ATGAGGGAATGAAGTTCTGGATTATGTACCAATTAAGAATTGTTCCCCAAATGCTCTAGGCTCTGGTAGCTTCATAGGAATATTACACAGCCAGCAAGTGACTGTTCTGCGGGGGGGGTGATATCATTAAATTGTATATATAGACAGTCTTCTGTGTTTCCTGCAAATTGGTCCTGTTAGTTGTAATCACAGCTCTTAATAGAAGTTTTAATTGCTGCTCCCTACTTGTAGGCTTTGAATTGCTTGTTTTGGCAAAAGGATATGCAGTTCTTTTATCAACTCTATAAATTAATGTGTTATTTGGCTTTAATTTGCAACTGTAACAGTCTTGAGTCCAACCCATTAATTTAGACACTCCTGAGGACTTAGGGTGGGTGTTTGGAGCACATTCTTTTGGTTATTCTCCGTAAAGTGATATTCTTGTCCCTTGTAGGTGGATTTAAGTTTTGAAAATAGTCAAAAAATCATTTAGAGTCCCAGTGTTGGAGATGAGGAGGAGGGGCAGAAAGGAAGCATATTAACATTTGCTGTGTTGAATGTTTGCAGAGTAATTTCACCAGGAGCATTGAATATACAGTTTTTAAAATATGCAAGCATGATTTATTTTTACTGATTTTTTCCATGGTGCTGGGATTGAGCTCTGGGCCTTGCTCTTGTTAAGTATATACTCTGCCACTGAGATACCCTGAGTCTTCTCTGTGGTAGGGTTTTACTTGTTTGTTAGTTTTGTTAGTTTTGTTTTTTAAACAGAATGAGCCTGAGGCTCAGAGAGTTGAAGTAACTTATTTGGGACTGTGCAGAGTGGCAACGTCAGGGTTGAGCCATGGATTGCTCTGACTCTGTTATTCACTTTTTGCAATACTTAATACAGTCATTCTTGGTTAACAAAGGCAGGATCTCACTATAAAATAGATTAGTGCATTTCATTTTCTGACATGTGACTATTTCTGAAGAATAGAGACATTCTTTCTTTGTGTAAATAGGAAAAAAAAAACCCTTAGCAAATGCCTACAGGAGGCATCAACACTTAATGCTTACTTAGATTTTTTTAAAGAAAATTTCATTTATGTAGCCAACTATATTAAACTCACTTATTATAACATACCTCAAGTATTTATTTATAGTTTGTATTTAACTTAGAACACATCTAAGTTTGGTATTAATATCACGTCTTAGTAGAATTTCTGAAGTGAAACATTATCAAAAATGTTAGTTCAGATGTGTTCACTCTGAGTTTTCAGGGTTTCTGTGTATAGTTTAATTTTTTTCTCCTTTCAATAGATTAACATTTCCACTAACTTTTGAGTGACTATGAGTTTTAAGATTCTTAATGAAGACTTAAAATGAACATATAGAAAATATCTACCAAACCACTGGCCCTGACTGTAACTTCAAGTGGCTGTGACAGCCAATTGCAGCAAGTACTCAAGAGAACCAGCACCAGAGAAGGGGAGTGTTAGAGCAGCTCCCCCAGGGGCCCAAGGAATCCTACATTTTCATCAACCACCTAAAACAGTTCTTGCAGCTCACAGTCTTTAGTGAACTTGATTGAAAACCCTGTGTGTACCAAGGAGAAACATCACTATCACTGTGAAAGGACCTAAAGCCTCTATGGGAAATCTCCAACCAGGGCAGTTGTGAGAACATGCCTAGGGTGCTGACTGGTTAGACATTGTGACTGTGTATATGTCACAGAGGATACAGAACATGTATACAACTGTTGGCATATTAAGCACACATACTGAGTATTCTAAAGAGAAAACAGAAACCCAGATACCATAATCCCACAATTGCCTAGAAGCCAGGCTTGCTAATTCTGTTCTCCAGACTTGTGGGTAGCTTTCACATGTCTGGCTTTTCTCTTCCTCAGTAAGGGAGTTCGTGGACTAGCTTCCTGGAGCACTGTATCTTTTCATTCTCTCTCATCTTCTAGGATGCTGTTGGCTCTGTCTGTCCCAGACTTCTTGTTACATTGGAATCAGATTTGTGTCTCTCTCTGAAAAGGTTTAATTTAAGCACTTCATTTTTTTAATCAGCCTTAAGGAGGGTCAAATGTGACCAGAAACTCACCTGATAGCTGTTTGCTTTTTGCAACATTAAAAATAAAATGCCTTGGTGCTAAAGTATTTAATGATGTGTGTTCCTAACCGAATTCACAGTATTGCACTGATGGGAGCTGCATGTGCTTTGCATTTGGAAGTCTGGGGATTTTCCCAGAGAACAAGTGTCCATTACTCTCATTCAACAGTCAGTCCATGAAGTCTACGCTGCACACACGCGAAGTGGAAGGGGGGTTACTTTTCTATGGAAAAAATCAATGCTTTTTGATATTTAGTTTAGCAAGAATAATCAAATGCTAAAAATAATTTCAGAGAGAGGTTTAAAAACTATTTAGATAATCTTTTTTTATACCTTCTCCAAAAAGCTGACAGCCCTGTGAGGTGTTTTTAGCATTGGGGTTTTGATGATGTTGTCTTTCACTGGTAGTCTATTATATATGTTGAAATTGAAGTAAGAAAATGTT